TAAAATTAAAAGGAACAGTCACACAATCAGAAATCGTTCTTTTTAATATGTGTCGATTTGAAGTTATAAAAATTAGAAAATTGTCTTAGGGAAGAATTCTCAAATGGAGGGTTGTGGTTTAAGAAATCCTACACGCATTTACAAGAAATGTCAGACTGAGAACAAACTGCCATTTACTTCCTGTATCCTCTGTCTATTACATTTTCATTAATAGCAGTTTGAAGAAATTTGCATATTTTAGAAAAGAAGCCATACTTGCCAAGCTTTCTGCGAGAAGAGTCGTTTGATTCCCTGGTGACATCTTTAATAATAGTTTGTTCTCCATGCACTGAAAACAATCCTGCTCCTGGTGGCCTCAGGGCTTCTCTTCTGACTCTGATTTTCCTCTCCCAAAACCTCTAGATTAGCTGGCTTTGCAGATCCCTTATGCCAGGTCAAGTCTAGTCAACCTCTTTCTTCCCACTACATGTGGTGCTTTTAACCATCTCCTTATTTTCAAGCTTTATTAATCAGAGACAATTCTTTTTCTTCCTCTTTATATACCAGACATGTATAGACAATAACAACCTCCTCCTAACATTAATACCTCAAGCACTTCTGGGTATGAGTCTAGGCCGTCTACAAGTGACTGCTTCTGCTATGTACCCAACACTTTAAAAATGTTATGATACTTATAACAATACAAAAGTACATAGGCACAAGGTTATTCCCTGCAGCATTCTTTGTAAATGCAAACTATTAGAAACAGCCCAAGTGTCATACGTAGAAGAGGGTTTGGGTAAACTAAGGTGTAGCCACACAATAGAGAACTATGCAGCAATAAAAAAGAATAAGAAGATACCTTATTAATTAAGACGGACAAATTTCTTGGATGCATTTTTAAGTGAAAAAATTCAAAACACATACGAATATCTGTTATATGCTAAGAAAATATATGTGTAGCTAATAACATATGCAAAATAAATACAAGAAAGATAAACCAGAGAAAGTGAGATAAGTTACTTAGGTGGGGAAGATGACATTAAGGTAAAAAGAATGAGTAAATGAAAATGGGATAAAAGGATTGAAGTTATAAAAATTAGAAAATTGTCTTAAGGCCGGGCGCGGTGGCTCAAGCCTGTAATCCCAGCACTTTGGGAGACCGAGGCGGGTGGATCATGAGGTCAAGAGATCGAGACTATCCCGGTCAACATGGTGAAACCCCGTCTCTACTAAAACTACAAAAAATTAGCTGGGCATGGTGGCACGTGCCTGTAATCCCAGCTACTCAGGAGGCTGAGGCAGGAGAATTGCCTGAACCCAGGAGGCGGAGGTTGCAGTGAGCCGATCACGCCATTGCACTCCAGCCAGGGTAACAAGAGCGAAACTCCGTCTCAAAAAAAAAAAAAAGAAAAAAAAAGAAAAAAGAAAATTGTCTTAGGGAAGAATTCTCAAATGGAGGGATGTGGGTCAGGAAATCCTATATGCATTTACAAGAAATGTCAGACTGGAGTCATACTTCTCTGAGTACAACTTTTGTTATGGTTCTGACCTGTAGAACATACATGTATATATACACATATAGTTATGTGCATATGTGCATGTGCATATGTGTGTGTTTGTATTATATACACATTTTCTAACCATATCTATTGCAAGCGCCTAGAAGCAATAATATCTTTGTAGGCATAAGCACACCTACCATCTGGATCTTGATATCTAAATGCAATTTCCCAAATAAAAAAACCAAGACTCTTTGGAGAAATAGCTGATTTCAGGGTTGAGTAGAAAAAGTACAAGTTGAGCCCAGAATTTTTGTCATTCCAGAAAGTAAACACTCAAAAAATGATGGGATCAGTTTCAAACAACTCAGAGTCTAATTTGACATAACTCTCAATGGCCAAATCTAGGAAAATTCAAGGAAAGAATATACGATGATGGAAAGAGGTTATAACCCATAAAATACAATAGATATACATGAGTCCATGCTGATATAAGTAAATAAGTGAATGAATAAATAAGGAAGAAGAGATAACTCTTCCTTGCAGTAACATTCCAATTAACATGCAAGAATAATGAATAATAATTCATCTTTAGGTGGTCAGTACATAAGGGCTGCAGACAGGCATTGTGGGTAGATAATAAAATTAGTGGACAGAAGTATGAGAAAAGGGACATTTTTATGGTCTCGAAATATCTCACCATAAGACATTCATTACAAAGAAAAAATGGTCACCGTACAGTGATAAAATCTGGCAGACTCATCTTTATCAAGTGATCAAAATTAATGTCAGTAATAACAAACCACAACATAAAGTTCTCCCTGTTATGTTGCACTGAGGAAGACTCATCACGCACTCATCACAATGCTACACATTAGGTTGCATTCTTTCCAAAAATGTGTGATCTCATTCTAATCATTTATAAAAATCAGCCAAGTCCAAATGGAGGGAGAGTCTAAAAAGTAAATTGCCAGTACTACAAGATTCAAAAGTATCAAGGTTGTGAACAATGAAGAAAGACTGAGAAACTACCACAGACTGGAAGTCACTAAACAAACTTGAAAACTAAACGCCCTACCAAATTCTGAATTGGATCCCAGACCACAAAAAAAAAAAAGGACATTAATGGGAAATTTGATGAAATTTGAATAATACATATACATTAGTTTGCAATCTCTAAATTTGAATGATATCAATGTTAGTTTCCTGCTTTTGATAATTGTAGTATGGCTAGGAAGGTTGTTAACATCGAAAGAAGCTGGATGAAGAAACATCAAGGGAAGCTGGATGTGTTACTTTTACAACTCACTAAGTCTAATATTATTTCAAAATAAAATTCTATAAAATTCTATACTTTATTCTCTCATTAACACTATTCTGTAGTTATTACTACCCCTACTCCATAAATGAAGAAACTGTGACCCAAAGAGAATGCACTGATTAAGATTACTAAACAAATGAGATGCTAAATCTGAGTTTATTTGAGTACTATGAACAAGTACTTTTAATATACTACACTGCTAAATCTTTCTTTGGTTATTTAATTCTAAAATTAGATGAGATCACTGTCAACTCTTTTCCTTGTGATACAGACAATAGTAATAAAATATTCCTGCTTTAGATAGAAAACAGAGGCCAAGAATAATTGTGTGATATTACAACAAATTGAAGAGTGATTGGTGACTTCCAAACAGACCTGGAATTAAAACCAATTTACCAAATTTATCAAAGAAAACGGTAATATCTCTGGAATCTTTATGGTCTACATTAGATGATATATTCTTTTAGTGCAAGGGTAGTCATTTAATGTAGAGCATAAAGATGCTGTTGTCTACCTTATCTTAAACTGCTAACATTTTTCAGGGATCTACTATATGGCAGACCTTTATATACAGTGTTGAATTTCATCTTCACAATCTTCCCTGAGTTAGGAACCAACATAATCTCCATTATCTCAGGAAGATAGGTGATGGGCTAGGTAACTTGTCTGATGGGAAATTTAGATCCAGACTTTTCATCTGATTACAGAGCCCATCCTCTTCCCAACTGCACAAAATAGTCAGTGTAAATGGAGGATAAGTACATTTAACTGTAATATGTTGTTCTCATCTCTTTTTCCTTTGGTATCTTTGAAAACTCAATGCGCTTCTAGGACACAATTGTGAATGCTGGTTTCTTGAAAAGGTCAGGCAGTGCCCCTGAAGGTGCATTTTTCCATCACACACCATGCAAGCATATCTCTTCCAGCTCTGTCCTTTATTGTTATGGATTTCCTATAATTTCAATTATGTTCTTTTTTTTTGCAGCAGGTTAAATCAGATTTGAGGACAATAAAGGGTTAATGAAATGATTTGGTGTAATTACTCATTATAAAACACCTCCCTTTTGGTTGAGGCCTTCTTTGGAATAGAAAAATAATTCTCCTTGGGCAGCAGCAACAAAGGAAGCTGATAAAGGAAGGGAGAGCTGCCTATTCTTTAGTGATTTTTATCGCAAATGGAAAAAGCATGTTACTTGTCAAAAATGCTATTAGGAAACTCACTGAAAGATGAAAAGTGGGACCCCAAAAAAAAAGACTCCCCTCCCAAAAAAAACACAACAGCCTGCTTTGCTCTTTCTCATTGCTGGGGAATGTTTGTATTTGCTTGTTTAAAATGACAGTTTGAAATGTAAGACAGAAAATGCCTGGTTGACAGGAGTCTTTGTTTCCTACTCTCCCTATTGTATTTGCATGCACTGTATATGTATAAATCTTGCGAACCCTCCCTCCTCCCCTCTGCGAAGCGTCTTGATAATGATGTGATTGGAACGCTTAGAACTCAAAGTTGTATCTTAATTGAAAGAGAGAGAAAAGGAAAACATTTAAAAAGACAGCAATAATAAAAATCTGGGCTTGTCTTTTACCTAAAGTAAAGTGGATTCACTCTATACTTAATCTTTATTACACAGTCATTTTTGGAAGGTGTTTTGGTTGATGCCTGTCTCCTTTTTCTACAGCAAAAAGCATTTCTATAACTCAAGCTGTTAAAATCATGGATAGAAATGCCAAGGTTTTGGGGTTTTGCTTGCTTCCAGTGTGGAAGCATGGTACATCGCCTCCCACAAACCCTAAGTCATCACATCCCCTTTTCCACTGATAAATTGGTGATCATTGAAGCTGCATAAGAAAGCAAAGATTAAAGCAGGAAATCTCAAAAGATCTGTGTGCTTCATATTTTAGACAGCTTTCTGCATGAAACTGCTAAGGCGTAGATGGCAAGAAAACACTGGGTTCTAGTTGTATTTCAGCCCTTATCTGGTTTGAACACTAGAAAAGCTTCTTGCTAACAACTTTACCATGAGTCCCATTGCATTTCAGTCTCTAATTTAATAGGTGCCGTCCAAAAAAGCAAAGCTAATCATGACATTTCCCCATACAAAAGCATCTTTTAATTACCTCAATTCAAAGAATAAAATTAAAATTGTTCAGATAGACATTTAAGGCCCTTCACAACTGCAGCCTTTTCTAGAACCTTACCACCTGTTTGTCACCTTTGACAGCCTTTGAAAAGTAGAATAGGATGATCAGTATCCTCTGACATGACTTGGTAGATTACTAGGTGAGTCAATATGATTATTTTCCTGGAGTTTGTGTTAGGAAATCTGGAGGGAAATCATTAAATTGTTAACAGAAAAATAAGTGGACAGATATAGAGGTAGATCTGAATTAATACTAAGGAGTTAGAATAGAAATTGAGAAGCTTTGCTGCAGAGATTTCTAGGGCTACTTAGGATTCAAATGACTGACTTGTTCAAGCTCAGAGACCTTGGTTTTGCTGCTGTTTCTGCTCCTTCTCAGCCTGGATGCTTTGTTTTGCTTGGTTTCCCTTCAAATCTATGCATACGGCTGAAATCCTTGTTTACTTATTTCCATGTCTATCCTTAAAATAAACTCTACATAGTTCAAGGTAGCCACAGTTGATTATTGAAGAACATGGGAGTCAGGGTTGCTGAACTCCCAATCCTGTGCAGGCAAAAATCTGCATACAACTTTTGACTCCCCAAACGCTTAACTGCCAATAGTCTACTGTTGACTGGAAACCTTATTGATTACATGGAGTCAATTGTCAGATGTTTTATGTGTTCTATATATTATATACTATATTCTTACGGTAAAGTAAGCTAGAGAAAAGAAAAATGTTAAGAAATTCAGAAAGTAGGTTGGACATGGTGGCTCATGCCTGTAATCCCAACTCTTTTGGAGGCCAAAGTGCATGGATCAAAGTTCGAGAACAGCCTGGCCAGCATGGTGAAACCTGTCTCTAGTAAAAATACAAAAATTAGCTGTGCCATGGTGGTGTGTGCCTGTAATTCCAGCTACTCAGGAGGCTGAGGCTGAGGAAGCGGAGGTTGCAGTGAGCCAAGATTGCACTACTGCATTCTAGCCTGGGTGACAGAGAAAGACTCTGTCTCAAAATAAATAAATAAATTAGAAAGTAGAGAGAATATATTTACTATTTATTAACTGGAATTGGATCATCATAAAGGTCTTCATCCTCTTGATGAAGGCTGAGTAGGCTGAGGAAGAGGAGGCAGAGGAGGAGATGGTCTTGCTCTTTCAGAAGTGGCAGAGGTAGAAGAAAATCTGTGTGAGTGAACACTTGTAGTTAGTTCAAATCCTTTTTGTTCAAATGTCAACTGCATAGTGAGCTTCTCATTACCCAAACATCGCCAGCACTACCAACTTAAGCTCTGCCAACAGGAATGAAATGGTAGATTGACCCTAAACTAACTTCCCTGGAAAATACTTTTTTAAAAGTTCTGGGTCCTGCCCGGAGCTTTTAAATCCTGTCCATTGGAAAACCACATTGTCCCCCAGACAGAGCTTGGTTCTACTCTATTTCACCATGTATTTTGCTTCTCTCTGTTACAGCATGTAGGGAATTCTTTGGGCTGCTACAACTACAAACCACCGCTTGGTGACTGGAGACAGAGGACATTTCTGCTCTCACACCCTTTAGGCCTGAATTCAAAAATCAGTGTTGGTAGGAGCACACTCCCTCTTAAGGCTCTAAGGAAGAATACTTCATTATTCCTTTTGGCTTCCAGGGGTCCTGGCACTCCTTAGATTGGGAAGCATAGCCCCAGCCTCTGCCTCTGTCTTCATCTGGCCTTCTTCCCTGTGTCTTTATGTGTCCCGTCTTCTGTCTTTTTAAAGGACATTAATCATCGGATTAAGGGACTGCCAAAATCAAGATGATCTCATATGGAGATCCTGAACTTAAGTACATTTGCAAACATTCTGACTCCAAATAAAGTCACATTTTGCTGATATACATGGTCATATCTTTGGGGGACCACAATTCAACCTAATACAGAGCAGTTACCACATTATTTTATAGTTCACTTGGCTTTTCTTTGAGACTACAGACCCTCAACTGCAAGACTCATACCTTATTTTTTTATATCCTGGTATTGAGCAGTATCTGGCACATAGTTGAAATTCAATGAATAACACATTGAATAGACACATGAATAAAAATATTAAGCACTTGTATCTATATTTCTAGGCTTTAGTTTCCTAATACTTAAAATGAAATCCTTACTTTGTTTTTCTGTCCACTTTTGGCATTTGATTAGTAGAATAAACAGCCAGAACACTAAAATTTGGGCCTCTCAACCTTCCAGTAAATCTTTCTGAAAAGATCATCCCTTATAGTCTTTGATAATTTAAGAGAACTATCTCTAAAAATAAGTCTTTTTTTTTTCTTTAAGTTGTTCTACACAATGCTTCCTTTGGAGGTAAACCTACATACAGGATCAGCAATATACATTCAATGCCCTTATGGTGATACATGTATCTTATAAGTCAAAAAACTGGGACTATAATCAGATAGGTAAGAACATTTTTATGGCCATAAAGCAAAAGAATATTTTGAATCAAGTGTAGTTGATACTATGCTCTACAGCCCAGATTTCTCCTTCAGAACTGAGACAAATATTCTGCCCACAGATGGGAGTAGCTGTGCAGATGACAGATGAGTCACTGTTAATGCCCTCCATGAAGGAGAACATTCTTGCCTAAATCATGATCTTCACTGGGGGCAAAGCTCAACCAATGACAGGCCACTTGTGGGGAATGGTACAGGGTCTAAAGGCCCAGCCTCCATTCCTTAGGACAGGACACTTCTGAAAGGCCACCTTGCCACCAGGGAATCTTATGGGATCAAAGTTTCAGCGAAAATTCTCCTTTGGCTTAATCGTATTTCCAGTCAGGCATCAGTCCTGACGGCATCCTCCAATATTTTTGGGTACGTGTCTCTGCCCTACAGTTGCTTTATTTTGAGCCTACACCTAAGATACCAAGCCTGTTCCAGAAGATCATTTAGCATATATTCTGTTTAGCTTTAGACTTTTTTAACTTAGTTGTTAATTTTATTTAACTGAGACATTGTAAGTGTACATATCGAGGGGGTAAAATTTGATGTTTCATTGCATATCTATGTTTTACAATGATCTTTCGGGGTCATTAGTGTATCTATCACCTCATACATTTATCATTTCTTTGTGGTGAGAACAGTCAAAAACCTCTCTTAGCTATTTGGTAATACACACTAGTTTACTGTTAACCGTAGTCACCCCACTGTGCAACACAACACCAGAATTTATTTGTTCTATCTACTTGTAACTTTGTACCCACTGACCAACCTCCTTCCATCCTCTCCTTAGTTTCTCCCCTTGCCAGTCTCTGGTAACCACTCTTGAACTCTCTGCTTCTACGAAATCAAGTTTCGTTTTGTTTAATTCTACATATGAGTGAGATCAAGAACTATTTATCTTTCTGTGGCTAGCTTACTTAGCTTAATATAATGTCCTCCAAGTTCGTCCACGTAGTCACAAATGACAAGACTTCATCCATTTTTATGGCTGAATAGTATTCCATTATATGTGTGTGTACATATATAGATACCATATTTTAGTTATCTATTCATCTGTTGTTGGACACTTAGGTTGATTCCATATCTTGGCTATTGTAAATTATGCTGCAATAAACGTGGGAGTGCAGATAATCTCTCAACTTCTAATTTTATACTCTTTGAAAATATATGCAGTAATGGAATTGCTGGATCATAGGTAGGTTTTTAATTTTCTTTTTAATTTTCTGAGCAACCTCCATACTATTTTCCATACAGTTGTACTACTTACAGTTCCCCCCAAGTGTGCAAGTAACCCCTTTTCTCCACATCCTTGACAACATCTATTTTCTTTTATGTTTTTGATAATAGCCATTCTACTTAAAGGGAGATGGTACTTCATGGTGAATTTGATTTGCAGTTCCCTGATGATTGATTACTGATGGTAAGCATTTTAAAAACATTCCTGTGGGTGATTTGTATGTTTCTTTTTCTTTTTTCTTTCTCTTTTTTAAATTAATGTTTATTAAGGTCTTTTGCTCATTTTAAAATCAAGTTACTTGTCTTTTTGCTATCTAATTGAGTTTCTTATGTAGTCTGGATATTAACGCCTTGTTAGATGTGTAATTTGTAAACATTTTCTTTCATTTTGTATATTTTCTCTTCTCTCTGTTAATAGTTTCATTTGTTGTACTTTTTAGATTGATGTAATCTCATTTGTCTATTTTTGTGCTTTTGAGGTCTTGTTTAAAATATCCTTGCTCAGCCCAATGTCATGCAATCTTTCCCCTGTGTGTTTTCTTTCATAATTTTCATAATTTTCCATCTTACATTTAAGTCTTTATTCCATTTGAGTTGTTTTTTCTATATGGTGACAGGTAGAGGTCTCATTCTTCTATATGTAGATATCCAATTTTTCCAGCACTGTTTATTGAAAATATTGTCTTTTCTACAATCTGTGTTCTTAGCAACTTTGTTGAAAATCAATTTGCTGAAGATCTGTGAATTTAATTCTGGGCTCTCTGCTCTGTTCCACTGATCCATGTCTGTTTTTATGTCATGGTTACTATATGTCGGTAATATATTTTGAAGTCAGGTAGTTTGATGCTTCCAGNTTTTTTTTTTTTTCTGAGGATTGCTTTGGCTACTCAGAGTCTTTTGTGGTTTTATATTAATTTTAGATTTTTTTTTTCCTATTTTTTGAAGACTGTTCTTAGAATTTTGATAGGGATTGCATTACATCTGTAGATCTGTTTGAGTAGTTTTAACTACCATCACTTTAGTTATTTTAACAATACTAATTGCTTCAATCCATTCCTGTGGGGCATCTTTCCATATTTTTCTGTCTTTTTAAATGTCTTGCATCACTGTTTAATAGTTTTCAGTGTAGAGATCTTTAGCCTCTTTGGTTAAATTTATTCCTAGGAAGCTTAATTTTTGTGGCCATTGTAAGTGAAATTATTATTATTTATTTTTCAGTTAGTTCACTACTGGCATATCATGAATTTTGTATGTTAATTTTATATCCTGCAATTTATCTGAATTTGTTTGTTAGTTCTAACAGTTTTGTTGTTGTTTTTTAAATCTTTAGGGTTTTCTCTATATCATGTCATTTGCAAACAGGACAATTTGACTTCCTCTTCCCAATTTGGATGACTTTTTTTTCTCTCTTGGCTAATTTCTCTGGCCAGCACTTCCAGTACTATGTTGAATAGGAGTGGTAAAAGTGGGAGTTCTTATTTGTTCTTG